TACACACAATGTCACACCATAAGTTCTCGCTCATTGTTCCCGTACTCACACAGTGGCACATCATATACACATCCAGCCATGGGGCAAGGAATAGGCCAGAGAAGATGTGAAACTGCATATGTATAGTCCTGGATAGATCCTTTTTCTAGTGCTTTATCCCATGAATATTTTGTGTAGACATTCCCTTGGTCGTAATCTGTCGGAATGGAATATGGAACTGCACAGAGAACCGGATGGTGATCAGAGCCGTTGAATGGGTTATCATCTCTCACACAAGCAGTAGCCACTAGTCCTCAGGATCTTCTGAGGTCATTATATAATCAAAAGCAGAGACTGGACCTCCATTATAAGCTTGAACGAAAAATATTGGACCAACACAATTAGATTGCATGTTTACAGGAGACAGATAGCACTTCATCACGACTGCTAAGAACAGGATTGTACCTAGGTCCACAGCCAGTGGCATTAAGATCTCCCATCACTATTACTCTGCCTTTCAAGGAATATGCATCACAAATGTCTTTTTGATTATCCACATAAAAAGAATAACGTTCTTCATGGCGATTTGAAGGAGGCAAGTATTAAAAAAAGAGGTACAGGGAGTGATCCTGTTTAAAGTACAGTTCTATTCCAGGGATTCTGTCACAGTCAAAGTTGATTTCATTGATAAAAGACTTCATGGGTGTCTTACAGAGTAATGCTGTTCCACCACCAGGAAAGCCTCGTGGAGTACAGTTCTCTGGTTCTGAAGGTACTTGGGCAATATAAAAGTAGTCATTGTTAATAGTATCCGGAAAACACAGATTAAATTCATGAAGCTGGTGACCAGCTGTTGCACAGATATCAACAGATGTATCATTTAGGCAATCAGTCAAATATGGAACGCTAGACATAATGCCTTTAGCAATCCAACACATTGATGAAAGACAGTTATTGTTCACGGGCATTACCAACATAGTCCAGATGTTTCTGAGAAAAACAGTGATGACACCAGGTGTTCGCGAAAAGGATAAGCATGTCCTGGCCTACCCGTAACGCCCGCCATTCGATAATAAATAATAAATATATTAATAATAATAATAATAAATGACAATATGATGATGATGATGATGATGATGATGATGATGATGATGATAATTATATGATCCTTGAAGAGGCTAAAACTTACCACCATAACCTCTCATTGTGTTGGATAGACTACAGAAAAGCTTATGATTCTGTACCACACGATTGGATTTGAGGTCACTGGAATGTATTGACTTGTTTTAGTCAAGTCTTTAATGAATTGCTGGTCAACTCAACTTGAGATGTATTCGCAGGGGCAGGTGGTGACTTCGGAACCCAATTCTATTAGAAGAAGAATATTTCAGGGCGATTCCTTTAGCCCTTTGCTTTTCTGTTTGTCACTAAATCCTTAAAGCTTTTTGCTCAGCAAAGAGGTAGGTTATCACCCCTTATTCACCTCCTTTACATAGATGACCTTGAACTTATTGCCAATGAAGGATCTACACTAAAAAAAACAGATTCTGCTTGTCGAGTCCTTTTCTAATGATATCGGCGTGTCCTTTGGTCTCGACAAATGTAACATTCTTCATTTGAAACGTGGCAACGTAGAAGAGGGGGGATCAGTCAGTTTACTTGGAGGAGGAGTTATTGACCATTTTGTGGAAGGTCAGGCCTATACGTACTTAGGGATGCAGATTAGGGACAAACTCCAGAATGCCAATAACAAGAGCAAATTTCGGGCAGAGTACAAATGTAGACTAAAGAAGATCTGGAGTTCAGAGCTGAACGCTCACAATGAAGTCAAAACCACAAATACGTATGCTATGTCCGTCCTTTCGTATTCTTTTGGTGTTGTTGATTGGACGAAACAAGAAATTCAGGGTATTGACACCCTCACACGAAGAATCATGTCAGACAATAGATCCCACCACCCTCGTTCTTCCCTCAGTCGCTTATATTTACCAATTATGATGGTAGGGCGTGGTTTGATTAATGTGGAGGTTCTTCATGATAGAATTGTTTTGTGCACTTTTGCACACATTTATTTGTCTGATGATCCTCTTGTGAAGCATGTCAAGACTCATGATGAAAACAAGGCATTCCACGAGCCAAGGATGTGAGACATAATCTCAATGTCGGTGTAGATTTTGTTGATGGTTCTGTACTGCTGGACGGTACAGAAATGAGTGTCAACCACGCGAAGTGCCACATCAAATCGGCCCAGGCTTTCTGAACGACCGCTGCATCGAGTTTGTGTGCAGTGTGTTGAGAAGATCAGCAAACCTGCAGAGTCCTTCGCTTGGATGAAGTCGTCTGGCCTGAAAAGTGAAACAGAAGGCTTTCTGTTTGCTGCTCAGGACCAGTCACTTCCTACTCGAAACCGCCAATGTGTGATTTCGCATCAAAATGTGAATATGAAATGAAGATTATGTAATGAATTTAATGAGACTGTCCAACACATTGTCAGTGGATGCCCAGTTTTGGCACAAACACAGCATCTTAAACGACATGGTGGTATTGCTCGATCATGTTATTACCGTCTTCGCCATGCTTGTGGTTTTGACACAGAGGTCTACCCATGGTACGACCCTGAATATGTAGAGGGCGTCATGGAAAATGATAAATACAAAATCCTTTGGAATATGCCCGTATACAACCTCAGACATATCCAGGCCAACAAACCTGATCTTGTCCTTATTGATAAATCCAATGAAATCATTTATATCATTGAATTTTCTGTCACTTTTGACATTAATGTGATTGACAAGATCGAGGAAAAACATGGCAAATATGCGGACCTCGCTTTCGAAATGTCACGCTTGCATCCCAAGTACCAAGTTGTCCGACTCCCCATTGTTCTTGGTGCCTTAGGTTTGGTACTTCCCAATCTGTTGACTGACATTGGGAGAGTACCCGGGTTTGCTTACCAGGAATACAGCCCTCCTGACAATCTGGGTAATGCAGAAGGCTGCAGTGTTGGGGAGTCTTCACATTCTCCGAAATGTTCTGGGTGGGTTTGACTAGGCAGCGCTTCCTGGCAAGGGCCCTCAGCTGATGATGAGCCTAACCAGCCTGACTGTGCCAGGATCACCCAAACACTCTTTGCTGCATTTTTAATTATAATCTGAACATTATAATTTATAATAATAATAATTAATAATAATATAATAACATCATCAACAACGACGACGACGACGACGACGATGATGATGATCAAAAGACCATATACCATTTCAATTATTCAATTGTGAATATAATGTTATGATAATTTATTGAAACATATAATATCTTTTCCTATTTGTTTCCTGACAGCAACTTTGTTTTTCGTTTATAAATGACAATTAACTGATCATTTGACTGGCCTGCATAGTCATATATATTTTTCTTCAATGTCAGTGTGACATTGTCACAATGAAAGTCGCCTGACTCGCCGCTAGCATACCGGGATACCTGATAAATGCACGAATAAATATACACATTAATAAAGCACCAACAAAGTGTCATTTTAATCTATGTAGCAACTCCAGAAACGAGTGCTAGGCTGTATTGTCGACTGTCGGTTGAGAGTAAACTGCAAACACCAGGTGAAGGCCTGATTTAACCTTTGAAACTCTCGGGGACCGATCATTTGATATTCTGAAAGGGGACGGGGGTTGGGATTTGGGCCTGACATTCTTAATTTGTTTTTAAATATAGATCCACTTGTGTATATGTTACAGTTAGACTGTGTATCTGGATATTTCGCGAAATCCCTGAAACGTTTGACTGAAATAATGCCGATGCGACGTTAACTTTGAACTCACTCACTCACTACAAGAATATCGAAGACTTTTTCACAGACCAAGATGACCTTTACATGCAGGTTAATGTTCCTAAATCATCAAGATATCTGACATTCATACGATTATTTAGAATTGTAATTTATATTTTTCGTTTGACTTGTTTGCATAACTATTGTAAAATTAATCATATTTTGCATCTGCGAATCAACACAAATTTTTAAGTATTTTGTCAGCATGTTATAGTAGGGATAAAATCATACATACTTTTTTGGGGTACTTCCCCCTGGGGATTTCAGGTAAGAATATTCAGGCACCTGGCAACCCAGGCGGGGACCGCTGCTCATGATGTTACTCACTGGATTGTCTGTTCCATTTTTGTTTGTGTAGTGAAAATAGCATGCAAAAATGTAATACCACCAGGGCCATTGAGCTAAATACTAGTATCGGGGTATGACTGAGATATTGTTAAACATCGTAAACTGCGCGGTCTCTCTCTCTCTCTCTCTCTCTCTCTCTCTCTCCCTCTCTCTCTCTCACTCACTCACTCTCTCTCTCTCTAGTTCTCTCTCTCTTTCTCTCTCTCTCTCTCTTGAACGGGAATGATTATAAGAGTAGAGAGAGAGAGAGAGACCTTGCGCAGTGCTATTTTCACACTATTACAAGGTAAAAAACTAGGTAAGTTGACATTGCATTATGTGACCATACAAGTTCCACGTGTCATGTCCTGAATGTTGTGTCCTGTCATGTAACGCGTATATTTACGAATACTATGTCAGCTGCAGGTGTGGCCGCGCTTCAAAGAAGCAGACAAATTGCTCCCGAATTGCTTTGTCTGTACGTAACCGATTGATAGTTAGCTTGTGTGCTACCTGTCATCTTGTAGCCAGTATTACTGTATGTCATTCACAACTGATCTACTTAAAATTACTGTGTGGAAATCACACATTGTAACTGTCTTATGGTGTCCTATGAACCATACGACTGGACATCACTTTCGCCATGTAATCAGTCTGCACCACCTTTACTATGTGAAAGTATGACATCATTCTTTTAAAGATGTAATTTTAAAGCGTGACACGTTAATAAAGTATTTCGCCGTCGCAATGTCGTATTTCTTATGATGATGTCGACAACGCATTTTTCTTTGGAACTAAGACTATATATAAACGTGTGTTGGTAACACCACTGCCTGAACGTCTTGCTCTTCAATATGGAGCCTTTCCTGTTTGTCAGATACGTCATCACCTTCTCCGCCGTGGGTGTGAGCTCATCACAGGAATACCACATCTTTCCTATGGGCAACATATCAACCCTCAGTTCCAGACTTACCGACTTCAATAGCCACCTTCAGCCTCAAGGTAAAGGTAGCTCGATAGTGTTTTGTTTGTTGTTTAACGCCGCACTTAGCAATATTCCATCTATATGACGGCGGTCTTTAAATAATAGAGTCTGGACCAGACAATCCAGTGATTCACATCATAAGCATCGATCCACGCAATTCGGATACGGTGACAGACTTCAACCAAGTCAGCTAGCCTGACCACCCGATCCCATTAGTCGCCTCTTACGGCAAGCATGGGTTGCTGAAGACCTATTCTACCCCGGATCTACACGGGATTCGTTCGATGCTGGTTGTTGATATCATGCATAACGCTGATATAAAGTACGGGCCAAAGAAAGTATACATCATGTTTGATGGTGGCTAAAAATGAAACAAAGAAGACGCGGTTATTCCATAATGATTTGATACGAGTATCAAAGTTGTTGGTTTTTTTTACTTACCTTAAGACTGTTTTCAGCCAGGTATCGTTCAGGTAACGTTTGTAATATTGGGGTCAAATCCAATTTTCAAGTGCATACTTTCTGTTGCTCGACAGTTTTGTTTCTAATGGGACATAAAGCCACATAATATTAAACGATATTTCGAGTTGAAGGAATTGCAGAATTCTCCAGTAGGGCTCCAACGATACAGGAAGGTCACGATACGATACGCATCTCGATATTCTGGTCACGATAGGATAAGTAAATGGTTTAAAAAACAAGACCTAAAGCATGTCAAGATTGAACCTTTCATGATTTTGGAACAGTCAAAATTATTTTATAATAACAAGACTACTGAAGTTGTTCAGCTTCAAAGTGGAACTTTCTCTAACTTTCCTTCAAAACAATTCAAAAGTTAATAATTAATAAATAATTAATGTACTCCACCGGTGATACAACATCAAAGAATTTTGATGCAATGGTCGAAGAAATTGTATCTGAAATTATTGTTTTATCAGGAATAATATATTCCAATGTCGTGTTACCTTAGTTGCAGCTTTTACTAATTTATATATATATTTAAAATTATAAGAACCACAAGTGTAGCATTTTGGTTCTGGTGATTGCTGTTTCAGGATATTTTTACGTATGGAACAATTTGACCAGTCACCCTAGGGACTTCCCGTGCTACATGTATTTCGATTGTTGTGAGCATGTGTGGTTGTAATTATGTGGCTACTCTCCCAAAAACATAACGATCTTAACACAAAACATACAACTTGAAAAATCTAAGTTGTATCAGGTCAGGCTTACTCTTGTTGTTCAAAGAAGATGCTATAAAAAAATTAATTTGTTTCAAAACACACAATAGAGTCGCATTGTAACAGACTGTGGGCGTCTTCGTATTTGACTTCGAATACCGATATGTACAAATCCATCAACGCAAAATACAAGTCTTTCTCTAGCGAGAAGCACGGTGTAGTAGCCAAGCGGTTAGAGCATTCGCTCGTCATGTTGAGAGCCCGGGTTCGATTCCCCACATGGGTACTAAATCTGGTGTCTCCCGCCGTTATTTTACTGGACAATTGCTAAAAGTGGCGTTAAACCTCACTCACTCACAGGCAAGAATCAGCACATGTACCTCCATCACAAGTCTGTGTAAGAATGTAGATGCACGACATGGCAAATAATGGTGCCGAACTAAAAAATACAATTTACTGTAGTCATGAGACAATCACCAAGCATTATCTTCACAATTTTAACCCACTCGTGGCCCCTCGTGTTATTCCAAGACAAGACCCTCTCTAGGCTTTTTTTTCAACTAGAGTCCGTCTTATGGCCAATGGGCCTAGCAAACAAATAGTCAACTGTTTATATACACCATGCGCCATTGGAGTGTACGTTTGTATGACTAGTTTCTACGGAGCAGGGTGGCCATTTACAACCTCTTTTGATAGTACTTGTGCCACTTTGGTATATTTTTATATTCAAAATATACCTGAATACGCACAGTTTTGAGAATTGATTCTTTGACAATGTACATGCTGTCATACTCGCATCCCAAATGGTTCGTCCTGTTTTTTTAACATAACATGGTCATTTGGAGAGACGAGTCCAAATGCACGTTATTGAAAGGGGCGCGTGGTGGCGAGTGTGGCTAGAACCATACTCGTGAAAGTCAGATCTTAGTTCTCGCTACCGATTAGTAGTCACGTCAGAACGACCTTTAATCCAACTTAGAGAGCGTCGCTTACCAGATCGTGTGAGTGACCGTCTAAATGTGTCTTCTAATCATGCAACCTCGAAAAGATTGACACGGGTTATTCTGAACGACAGTTTACAGGCTGTACGACTGCTACCGGCAAATCATCGTCTACCTCACGCTTTAAGGGGACAAACATTTTGAGACGATAGAGACATTCCACAGGTCGTGGGAAATATTGTCATAAAATCTTGACCATCTTCTATCGAACATCGCTATTTTCCAAAGCCTAGTCGGGAATGGAAGTTGCCTGTTTTAAATTAATGTTGTATAGCTCGAGAAAGCTGCTTTCAAAATGGCTAATGTCAGCTTCTTGTAAGTCATATCATTGGTCGGTATAAGTTCGCGAAAGGTCGTTATGACGTGGCCTGTAATATACAGCGAGAGTAAAAGTATGGTTTTAAGCCGCTTTTAGCAATATTCCAGCAATATCACGGCGGGAGACGCCAGAAAGGGGCTTCAATCACTGTACCCATGTGAAGACCACTAGGCTACCCCACCGCCCCTCCGGCCCTTTCGGCAGCGAGAACTAAGATCTGATTTTTACGACATTGGTTAAGAAGACCTTTACATTTTGTCTTTTGTAAATTGAATGAGACTGATTTTTTAAAAAACAGAATCATAAAATTGACATTTCTTGCAGAATATGATTTTCTTGTCGACCTGACAACCGGACGTTACATCACGCACACGACAGACGTCACGTGGCACTCGCCGCTGGTTTCCTCCGGCACATGCGCAATGAGAGGTGTCCTTAAGCTGAATTTTGGCGCCCCGGATTCTCCTTCAAGACAGAACGTTGTTCTCATCTATCTGTGGTTTAGTTCCCCGAGAGGATGGAGCGTCGACATAGGAGACTCTGCGGCAAATAATGGATATGGTAAATATTGCATATAGACTGCTTACTTTGAGAAAGTATTTGTTAGATATTGAAATAGAACTGAAACGTGGTCCAAACCCGCGTTGATTCCTTTGAGTACCTCTCCTTTCCCTGGAATATTGATAAAATTGACGTGAAACCATACTCCACATATACACTAGACATTTACTCATTGGAGTTAAATGTGTAAATAGAGGGTTGTACGGGATTCAACGATCTGAATGAACTTGTACAAGATGGGAGCGAAGGTCGGGGGTGTAGAACATTCTGCTCATAACAACCAGTACACCTCGCTACAGCTACGAAATAACAAGTTACAAAGACACGTTTTCCATGACAAATTTAAGAAAGTCGTTGTTAATGAACGTACACGACTGCACGTTAAAATCACTCAAACTAAACATTCCCGACCTAAAGTAGACGAAAACTCCGAGGGAGTGTGCCTGACTTGTGATTTTGTGGGCCAAAACATCCAAGATATGAACTATAACATTCCCTATTGACGTCCTTCGTAAAACGCTGTGCAGATGACGTTTGTCTTTTCTTTTACTGATGTGACCCTGCCCTTCGTTTGAAGCTGCCACGAACACACAATCCAAGCTGATTTTTGCTTTGTCAGTATAGGGTCGTACAGTTCATGTGAACTTCTTTCGCGAGCGCTCCGATTTCACTTTTTTCCTAAATGGTACGAACAGGATGTAAATTCAGCTGAGAAATTGAACTATGTTGATTGCACAGCGGGGATACCATCTTCCCGAGGCAAGAGCGTCCACTAGCCTTCTTATCAAAGTCTTGTTTCAACCCTTGCCACATGAAGCCAACTCTCCTGTGCTAAATGTGACTGGACTATCGCACAAACCGATGGTCCAATCAGAGAACGTTTCACAAAATCAACATCCACGACTGGTACACCTTCGTATGAATGTGATTTACCGCTGGAATATGTCATTTTCATCTTTTAAACCCCCAAAAGAATGCCTATGTTTTTGTGTCAGGGATGAAATTGCGAATAGTTTCGTTGTCTGATCGACTTGATCGTCGCCTACGGTAGTCGCCATCTTTGATAAGAACAGCGATCTGATTGGATATCGCGTTTTCATTCCAAGGGGCACAACTCGTGATCTACGCGAGGTGGCGCCATGGTCGAGCCACGAAGAGTGGCTTTGTTGTGGCAAGGGTAGAAACTAGGCTTACACGCTTGCCCCGGGAAGATGCGGGGATACCGGCAGTGTGAGTGACCGAGTGTAGGTCCAAGATTCAAAGTGCAGCGCCGTTTGTCCTTTCATGTTGTCTTACAGTTGTTCTGCGTACTAAAGTATTCAATTACCATTAGGTGAATCAATTCTAAAATAAAGATATTGAGCGTTGCTCCTGTAACGTTTGCACACACAATATCAGGAACATTTTGTTTATGCGTATGCATAGAGAAGTCAACAATGCCCATGTTTGGGCATATATCAATATTCATGCGTAAACAGAGTTGTTTCGGTTTGGTTTGTGTAACGACAAAAGTAATATATTTACACTTAAATTGATATTTAACGTGGGTAAAAGAAACAATACCACACTCACTCTTTAACAAGTAATGATAAACAACCTCCCAGTTACCCTCAATGTACGAGGACCGCCTTCGTGGTCTAATGGTAGAGCGTCCGCCCGGAGAGCGGAAGGTCCGGGGTGCGATCCCCAGCCGCGTCATACCAAAAGACGTTAAAAGATGGTACTTGTTGTTACCCTGTCTGGCGCTCGGCATTAAGGGGCTAAAACAAGGACTGGTCGGCTCGGAGTCAGTATACTGTGTCTGAATGGAGTATTCATGTTAAACTGCGGCATGGTTTCTCAGTGTGCTAGCACTATAAATCGGCATCAGTCCGGACTAGTACAAGCAGCCACACACACACATACACGTGCATGCACGTCGCTATATAAGTGCAATAATCTTGGACGCGACGTTAAACCCCATATCACCTCACCTCACCTCAATGTACGAGGATAGTGTTGGTGCTGCCTCTTTTCAAGTGGTATCAACCGTTGATGCATTACTCCCTTTGACTGACATGGCGTGACATTGTGTTCACCAGGTGGCGACTTTAGGCGGCGAACAGGACGGGACGCCGAAGTGAGTGGGCGTGGATCTTCCCTCTTTGTCGTGGGCAGCGACTACGACACAGGTCGACCTAGAGTGAAAAGCATTGTTCGAAACTTCCTCCTTACCGAAGTCTCCATCATCATCGCCGATGGTATCGTTGTGTGGAGCAACTTGGAGCAAGTGTATAACGCGACAGTCGGAACCGATCTCTTCGCTTTGAATGGCCAACCAGACATTCGGAACAACCCACCGAACTTCGATATCTATCTCGGACTTAACCGAGTGATAGCTTACCAGGCTCGACGTGGAAGAGGTCTTTGCGCTGCTGGAGTTTCCTGGCTCAATTAATTGACAATACAGTCTGATAATAAAACCCGAAAACTGATAACCCCTCCACGTGTGTTTGTGATTTTCATTCTCATTACCTTGGATAATTTATTTGGCCATTAGTGATAGCTCAAGCTACAATGCTCTGCAAAACTTTTGTTTGGTACTGCATTTGGTCCAAGGACACTTGTTGACTGTTAAATGGCCGATTCCCTAACGATCATTGTGTGTGGGGCTGACATTCCGAAGGTGCAAGGCATTGACGTTGCCTTGCAATCACAGGTACAACCCAAACGGCTATTTTTTTTTATATGTGTGTGTGTGTGTGAGCGTGTGCGTGCGTGCGTGCGTGCGTGCGTGCGTGCGTGTGTTTGTCTGTGCTTGCTACGTCCAATCTTCCATCCACCAGTATATATTTTTAAACACTTAGCCTTCGAATTCCACTGCTGGATGATAAATAAATGCAAAAAATAATTTACCTCATGTTTTACCTAAAAAAGCGAAAATGTTCACTGACAAGTCAATAAAGTGTTGGATTTGTGTCATTGTATGTATTGAAGCAGAGACCGTATCTGTCTGTCTTTGTGAGTCGCTGTGTGTGCCTGTATGTGCCTTGTAGCAAATCCCCCCCCCCCCCCCCCCCCCCCAAACACACACACACACACACCTGCCGGTCACTCACCTAGCTGCAGAGTTCAAATAGTTGTGTTGTTATGCCGTTATCTCTGGTCAGAGCTTGTGCCGTTATCTCTGGTCAGAGCTTGTTGGTCAGAGCATGAACACAGCCAAGATGTCTGCCTGTGTGGTGTGGATGTTGATCCTTGCCTGGGTGTCCCATGAAGCATTTTGCCTGAACCCTCAAGATCATATTCTGGAAACAGATGAGTATGAAACCTAATGATAGTGAAATTGTCGTGAAGCAAGGATGCCTTCAATAAATATGTCACTGATATCAGAATGTTTAGCGGTATACACTGTACCCACGGGTATGTACGTAGATATTGTGTGTTTGTGGTGTGTGTGTGTGTGTGTGTGTGTGTGTGTGTGTGTGTGTGTGTGTGTGTGTGTGTGTGTGTGTGTGTGTGTGTGTGTGTGTGGAACTAATTTGTCGAAACGCGTGTCAGGTTGCAAATCCATGGCTTATCACATTCCCTTTTTTTCCTAAATGATACGGACAGGATGAAAATTCAGTTGATAGAAACTGAACCATGTTGATTGCCCAGCGGGGATACCATCTTCTCGAGGCAAGAGCGTCCATTTATCACATGTGTTAGGTAAAATAATCACGTAATAATCTCGTCATTATCCCCACTGATCCCGTCAAAATTGTACCCGTGAAGGTCCGGGGTAGAATAGGTCTTCAGCAACCGCTTGTCGTAAAAGTCGACCATGCTTGTCGTAGCGGCGACTAACGGGATCGGGTGGTCAGGATCGTTGACATGCTTGGTGCATGTCATCGTATCCCAAATGCGTGGATCGATGCTCCTTATATCAATAACTGGATTGTCTGGACTCGATTATTTACAGACTCTTGTATTGACATTTTATATTATATAACACGAATCTATACATTTATTAATTATTGTTGTTGGTTTGTAGTTTAACGCCGCACTCAGCAATATTCCAGCTATATGACGGCGGTCTGTAAATAATCGAGTGTGGACCAGACAATCCAGTGAATGACAGCAGTGAGCATCGATTCACGCAATTGAGATCGACATGCATCAACCAAGTCAGCGAATCTGACCACCCGATCCCGTTAGTCGCCTCTTACGACAAGCATGGCCACCTTTTAGGGCAAGCATGGGTTATTTAAGATTGACTGTATTTTTTCGGTTCATTGAGGTATGACTCGAGCAACCGATATCCAAACTGGATGAATCCGTGGGTACACTGTGTGAAGCTTATGTTTGGTGTCCTCCCATGATATTGCTGGGATATTGCTAAAAACGGTGTAAAACAATACTCACTGACTTGTTTTTAAAATACCAATGTGAATGCATTATACAAATTGTTTTACCACAAATTGCATAGCTCTATAATTATTTTCCTATTGAATATGAAACAAAGCCGAATTGCGTTGGTAGTTACGGCATAGATAAAGACCTTTATTTACTGTCGTAATAGTTTTCCTCAGGACGACAGATTCCGGCCTGCCATCGGAAACGGACATATCGCCACCAACGTCCTCAGTGACACTATATACATGAACGGCGTCTTCAACGGCAGGAGGAGCGACAGTCACAGGGCTAGAATACCCGCTACGTCATCCATTGACGCCATTGACAGGGGACACAACTCGTCACGCCATTATTCACTTGACATGCTCAGAGGTACACAAAAACGTGGTAGGGGGTGAGTGAGTATGGTTTTACGTCGTATTTACCAATATTCCAGCAATATCACGGCGGTCTTCGGCTAAACGAGCGAACGCTTTAACCACTAGGCTAGCCGACCGCCCCTTCGTGGCAGGGATGTAACGACACTGGCCTTTTACATCAATGAATTGCATAAATTCACGATATTTGTATAGTTGTGAAATAAGGATATTTAGACCTATCTTATTTAGTAAAACGTGATGAAATGATAATGAAGCTTTTGGGCCTAGATAATGTAAAGAATGATCGAACCTTCAGAAAATCGTTTTGAAAACTGTCGGATGTGTTTATTCAAATGATTATAATCCTTGTTCTTTTCAACAATTGCATGTTTTATCTTGTAACACCATATGTACGGATAAGGAAAACGTCAAAATGACGTTGAAGAGATTTTCAAGAAGCGATACATATTTTTACATGTGTAAGTCTTTGAACAAAGAAAATATAGTTTACATCACGAACAAATTTCCTTGTTTTTACGCATTCACGCCAAACTAAGTACTTGATGTCATAGGTCCAAAAAGAATAATTGCTAGTTGGCAGTAGTACACTAACTTAAGTGAATATTAAACATCAAAGCTCGACAATCATCCGCCCCTGATGTGTGTTGGATGTAGCTTTGTTGTGTATATCGTTCCAATACTTATAATTTTTACCATTGAATGAATAAATAATAAGATTAGCTGTCAAAAGAAAGCATTCAATAGGTTTACAATTCATCACTTCTGGGGGGCACGGGTGGCCAAGGCGTCTAAGGCGCCGCGGTTCGCTGTGCACAGTTGCGTCCCTTGGGTACGCCAGAAACCTATGATTGTGGGTTCGAATCCCGGTTCGCCCCGGTTATGTTTCTAGGTTTGTCAGCACCATACCCGTTTTCGTGGGTTTCACCGAAGTTGTAAACGTCTGAGACCTGCATCATTTCGGGCTTTCCTTCCACATTAAGCTGACACGCCACGATATAACTGGAATATTGTTAAAAGCGGCGTTAAACCCAACTCACTCACTCACTCATCACTTCTGGTTTGGGCAACTATTTCAAAAAGTATGTTTCGACCTCCTATTCAGTGTTATCCTGATGTTATCCTGATTTTCTCCACAGGTATTTTCACACAGACTATCAAAAGAGACGATGCAGACATCGCCATACAGTATTTTGCCCACAGAACGATGACTAGGCTGCTTGTCACCATTGTTACTATGACTAGACGTCGCCAAGGGGTGATTACTCTCAACTTGACCATAAACCGTGGTGAAGATAGTAACGATCTCACCAGGAGCATCCCTAATATAACTCGTGGCAGTGACAGAAGGTGAGGGACACCGAAAAGTGAGTGAGTGAAATAGTATTTAGCAATATAAGAGAAGACAAATCACAGATCACACCCACAGCTGGCATGGTCTGGTAATCGAACACAGCAACCTCACATATCGTGTTAAGTTTTGTAACCCACTGTTTTCCCACTGAGCTGCGGAGGCAGGTGATCTTAAGTCGTTAAATTTATCATGTCATCACTCCAGCTAGTCCATGTTGCACGTTTTTTTCTCTCGCACGCTTTGAGCGAATTTCATTTGTACCGCGTTGAACTGTATTGTTTCACATTAAGGTATGTCGATGTTTTCTTAGTTTTTCTGGTGTTTCTTGCATTCAGACCGTTCATAAGTTGGATAAAACACGCCTCCTCGTTTTTGGTTGAAAATGTAAAACCTTGAGCTCGGGAAAACTTTTCCTCGCTCTAGGTTTTACATTTTCAACCAAAACCTCGGGGGCGTGTTTTATCCTATACGTAAAACTCAATTAACGCATTCATGCAAGCTATATTGATGCTAAGCATTTTATGTAGGACACACTACATTATACTGCATTCCATTGTGTCATATGCATACCTCAAGTTGATATCCATGTGACAAATATATCCGATATGAACGGATTTTAAATTTACCATGTTCGGCTTAACGTTATTCAACACTTCAGGGAGTACATGGCAAGGACGAAAATACCGGAAGTTGACGAAGGTCAAAGAACCAGAGTATTCCAGTTCTGGACGCACGTGCCAGATCTCCTTGTCCTGAAGCCTGACAATGCCAACATGTCGTCGGTGTTCATAACCGCCATCAGCACCGACCTTGAGGACGCCCTCCACGCCTACAACATCGCCATGGCCATGTCTTCAGACACCTTGCTGGTCACCCACGCTGAGGTAGGCCATCTCCCGACTTGACGTTTCGGTTATTCTTCATCCACTTAGATCAACATCAGAATGTGACCTAAATGTATGTCTTCTAGCGTCTTGCATGAACGTATGGCCAATAAGCCTCTTACTTACCTCCCTTGAAACATCTTTTGGCAAGCTCCTCACAGCGAAAGTCCGTTCGCGGAGCTCTCTATACTATCGTTGCCACAAGTCAAAACTCCCCACTGTGATAGGTGGCCCCAACCAGGCTTGGAGTTCAACTCGTAACCAATGACCGTTATGTTTACAAACAAGTGACGACTGTCGTGACGCCGAATACACTTACCGCTGATAAATTTGTTTGTCAATTTGAATTTCTATTTCACTAAAAGTATCATCTTTAATAGTAAGAATGGTTGGTTGATTTTCCGTTAGTCTGCAATCTCGAATCAATCTGATTATTAAAACAACAAAGTAAATTCATCTGGAAAACATGGTCAGTCGTAAACCTTTTCAAAATAAAATATGATGGCATTCCCAAAGACATAAACAAAAGTATAAACGTTACTACATATGGGGTTAGAGGGCAAATTTCAAGATTCTTGTACTGGCCGCGCCCACACTGGTGGCAGCGATGTTACCGAGAGTGTAACGAAGGTGTCACGCACTGGGAAGGAGCTTGATCTATTGGTCCTCTGGTGATTCACTTACGATTGAGTTAATATTGTTTTCGGCTGTCGTCAGCAATAGTTCAGTAATGTCGGCGTAGGCTGTAAGGCATCGAGACCAGCCAAGCAAAGCCAGAAGCTGATAGTCTGTAGAGTTGTTCGCGCAGTCTGACTACGGTGACACGCAGTCAAATTGTAAACACACGATTTGAAATCCCTGTGAATTCAGTACAAAATACCTTTTCCGTTCCCGGCATTCCCAAGGATCGATGACTTAGTGACCTTGTTCACTTTATTAAACATTTATATTAAATGTTCAAGAAATATAGGTAAAATCTATGCGGCATGTTTGTTGTAGTTTCTTTGTGTGTACGTACGACCAATGGATCTTAGTGTTTGATTAAATGTATCGTCTTAACAGGTACTAGTATTCAGTAAAGGGTAATTTCAAGATCCACCCATCGCTGGAATATACGCGTTGTCGAAAGACGACACGTGAATCAGTTTAGTTTTCGAATATTGGGTGAATCAGTCAGTTCATCAAGTTCACTCTAAAAGCTAATATGAATCAGATTCAAAAGATTTTCTTCAAGAACTTCAAGAACTTCTCAAGGGGTCATGATATACCGCAAATTAGCTTTGAACGTATTAGCTAAGAACACAAGTAATCGGAAGTTAGATTTCAGTGTGAATTAAGCCTTTGCCTTCTTCCGTCACGGATATGCTATTCTTTGAGATGAGAACAACGGGCAGTGCATCAGGAAGACATGTGTATATTATGCACTTTCAGTGAACCGTCGCAACAATACACCAACATGTGTTTAAGTGTTACAGTTCATATCATCATTTCTGAAAAGGGAAAAAAAACAACCAAAAAATCATTTCAGGCCTGGCGCAAGGTGTGGGAGGAAGGTCATCTGGAGGTGAACGGGAACCAGGATGTAGCTTTGAGTCTTAACGCCGGTCTCTACTACATCCTGTCTTCGATTCCCCTCAGTCGGGACCCGCTCAACCCCTTCATGGGACTCAGCCCAGGTACTTTCTCCATTCCTCTAGGTTCCTGTCCCACGAATCGTTTGAACTAATACTATGAAACTCTGTCACGTATGCATTCGTCGGTTGGAACTAAATTAACGTTTATTAAGTTCGGTCTATTTGGCAGTTCAACCATTTTGGCGAACTATTTTGGTTCGAATCAATCAAACAATAATGAAAATGTGAAATAATGTTTCAGTTTCCAACAACGAATCTAATACAATATCTGGTACTATTAAAGAAGAAAATTGGCACGGGAACATGGACCACAGCTCCCTTTAATGGGATTCGTTATAAACTTAAACTGCAACGTTAGTGACCAACCATTTTGGTTTGAGATCAGCGTTTTTTTAATGGATTGGCTCAATTATATTTTCCAACATCAGCAGGTGTTCAGTTATTATTAAAATAAATATAAACACTAAATGTATTCTTTGGACACCTGTCTGCAAGAAAGGGGCATATAGTTATATTTCCTACAATGCGAGGCATATGACAAAAATCAAAGGACTGTTTACAAGCCACAGTGATGAAACTGGAAGTTGCCCTTTCAAAAATTCTACATGCAAATACTTCTGCAGCTTAAAATAACAAATTAAATGGTTCAGGACAAAGTCAAGTTCTCGGGGGGGGGGATTAAAATAATGAAGTAATGACAAGTATATATGCGCAGGTCAAGGCCAGTGTCAGCTGAATCAAAGGTCAATTGCACTTTCGAGTCAAGTCTGCTCCGTAACCTTTAGGGGGAATCATGATACGAGTATGATGACCACTTCCCTTTCGTTAAAAACAAAGTCTGTGGATGCAGGTTAAACTGACAAGGCACAGGTCAAAACTGGTCGTAATCCATTCCCCACGCCCTATCCATACCCGACTAGTGTACACTTCATTAATGTAGCGTTGTGCTTATAGGCGTCATGGGACCCGACGAGTACCACTACAACGTCAACAACTCTGTCTTCACAAACTACAACGCCAAACTGAGTCTGGAGCTGCCAGCCTATATCAGAGACACCTACAACCCGTACGTTGACGCCACGGTGATACACATTCCAACAGGGACGGTCTGACGTCATGATAAAAGTGGGGCCTTTAAAAGTGTTGGCAGCATTGGAGAATCGCGAGGACGGCAGGGATATCCGTTTCCATACCTGTGCTTGTAGACCTAATCATTTGATTTTGCCAACATATGTCCGAATTTCTACTTTGTTCATTTTGTCGCTGTTTGGGACATCTGACTGCATTTCGTAATGTTGTACGTATTTAATATGGCGAGGCTCTAAAAAACGTGAAGTTTCAGTCTGAAGTTGGTTCCTTTGATAAAGGGCAGTTACTCTAGCGGGCTAAAGATTGCGGCGATAATCGACCAATGACAAAGATTTTGTTGTGCTCTAACAATATGCCTTGAGCAATTATGTGTAGGCCATTGTTGTTTTGCCTATATGGTAATCAAGCCACATTTTCAAAACAAGTGTAAGTTGGAACATTATTTCCCGTTTTCACTGTCCGACTAACTATTCACCGAGCTTGTGGCGTAATATAATAATGAACAAACTCCAGGAAAACATACAATGTGAAGGTACCGTTTGTAAGAGTTTATCTTTGACGATAGAATTTAGGAATGGCATTATGCTAAAGAGGTTATCACGCTTGTATGTTTTGGGATGGTAAATATCCTGAATAAGGAATAATCACTATGTACAGTATACTACGGTTATAACGAACTCAGGGGGGCTGGTTATTCTAGTTCATTATAACTGAAGTTCGTTATAAGCATATGTACAACATATATACAGAAAATGGCCGTGACGAAATAAAACAACAGTTCGTTATATCCGTCAGTTCCTTACAAGCGTGTTCGTTATAAACTTAGTTTATTGTATTTGGGTTATGATAATGATGGTTTTGACTTTAATAGTAATGATTATGGGACCGAGGCTGATGAGTGTGTTTAGCCTCCCGGTACAGAATAGGACCCGTGAAGATCCTGATTAAAATGTCGTAAAAGGCGACTAACGGGATTTGGTCAGGGTCAGGCTCGCTGACTTGATTGATGCATGTCATCGTATACCAATTGCGTTAGATCGGTGCTCATGATGTCAATCTCTGGATTGTCGGGACCAAACTCGCTTATTTACAGACCGCCGTCATATAACAAACAAAACAAACAAAGGGTACGGGACACCGAATAACGGAATATTCGTGGAATATTTTACGAGCGCTTACATCATTGCCCTGTAAAACGTTATGCGGTACTTTTTCTCTGCAGGTATCTCAGTGAGACAGAGCAAGGCGAAATAGACACATTCTCCCATATTGCCAAGAACATGTTGATTCTGTTTGATGAGAAGAAACAGTTTCATCCTCAGTTCGAGGGATTTGCTCTCAATGGTAATACAAATATCCTATATTATAATTAATCCCTCGTCAATTGATTTTCAGAAACCCATGCTTGTCATAAGAGGCGACTAACGGGATCGGGTGATCAAGAGTGAGTGAGTGAGTGAGTATGGTTTTACGCCGCTTTTAGCAATATTCCAGCAATATCACGGCGGGGGACACCAGAAATGGGCTTCACACATTGTACCCATGTCGGGAATCGAACCCGGGTCTTCGGCGTGACGAGCGAACGCTTAAACCACTAGGCTACCCGACCGCCCCGGGTGATCAAGAACGCTGACTTGGTTCATGCATGTCATCACATCCCAGCTGCACAGATTGATGCTTAATCACTGGATCGTCTGGTTGATACAATGTCATCTTATTCCAGATAATCATTATGTCAATCACTGGATTGTCTGATCCAGACTCGACTATTTACACACCGCTGTCAAATAGGTAGGCTGTTGCGGAGTGTGGCGTTAAACAAACAATGCCAAAAACTCATAACTGACAATTTTGTTTGATTTTCATTTGATGAAGAGGGTGAATAATAATAACAATAATAATAATAATAATACATCTTGATCAGATGTGCTCATGGTCGTGGTTTTTAACTATAGCGGCCCGATAGGCATATTGTAACGTATGACCTCGTGTGTTATACAGAGAGCATCAAACAGTCAGACGTGGTGCTGTTAGGTTTCCCGCTCTTGATGTCAATGCCACGCAACGTGAGAAGGAACGATCTCGTCATCTATGAAAAAGTAGGTTGGAACAAGAAACTGATTTGTTGTTTTCTCGACAGGCAGAACATTCATCGCTATATATGCGGTCCCCATCATGGTCGTAAGGGAACATCCTTTTGAATTGTATGGGGGGCATTTTTTATGATCTATTTTTTTCAAGCTGTACCCAACAAACTATTTATTTACTAAGCACCATCTAGAAATCTATTCATCTTCAAGATTAAAGCAAAAATGTTGACGTTTGGGTATTTTCCACAAAACAAACTATTATGGATTTCTCACCACTGCCAACAAGCTATTCATTTTGGTCATATTTCTGAACAAGCTGTTCATTTAAAAAATCTCCCAACCCCCACAACCCCAACCAAATCCATCACCCACTGAAATAATATGGATGCTCCCTAAGGCCTCATAAACATAAGATACGGGTACATGGTAGCATTGGCATCAGACTATTGTTTGAGCACAAGGCGTCAAGGTCGTTCCGCAAATTCGTCCATTGGTACCGCAGACTCGAACTGTGTTTATTCATGAAACACTCACTAGTTGTTGCTAAACTCATTATACTTCTGGCGAAACAGCTGACATCACACACATGCATTGTGAACATTATTCCTATCAAACAAGTAAAAATCAATAAGAAGCGTCAAACGATTTTTCAAATTTCATTGAATTAATCAGAAATAGATTGATCTGTTGTGTGTTGTGTCAGTTGACCGATCGTGTAGGTCCGGACACCGGCACGTGGAGCATGCACTCACTGACCCGACTGGAACTGAATGAGAAGGAGGCGGCGGCAGACGACTTCCGGATGATGTTTAGGAATATCAATGGTCCTTTCAAAGTACGTTACATATTCGTGCATATACTGAACAAAGAACGTTTTGGAACATGAATATATAAGTCCACGTTAGACCGCGTGAACATTTACCTCATTTGTGTGTGTGTGTGTGTGTGTGTGTGTGTGTGTGTGTGTGTGTGTGTGTGTGTGTATATATATATATATATATATATATATAGTATATAAAATATATTATTTAGGGGGCTGAAGGGGGATTAAATTGTGTGCTCAGTCTTCACTTCCAAGAATATTCTCGATCCTGAACTAACTCTTTTTATCGGCATGTGGAACTGAACAAATTCTGAATCAACTGGAATGTACTAGAGGTGCATGTGACAAACATTCTTATTTTTACCAGATATTCAGCGAGAAGCCGGCATCAAACCCTTCTGGAATCCGCTGTGTTAATTTCATCACTGCCGCAGGGGGGCTTCTTCAGACAGCCATATTTGGTTATGCAGGAATCAGATATCGCAATCACCATCTAGACATAAGACCACGGTTGCTCCCCAACTCGACTGACTGGGCGGTCAGAGGTCTTCACTATCAGGGCTTCACTGTGGATGTAGAGATTTTCCAGAACATGTTCAAATTAACCCTTGTCAAGGATAGAAGGGATAAGGAAATATGTTTGTCAAATAAGAATGAGGCATGTGAAATCCTGAAGCTAAGGAAAAGTGTAACTAAACCACAGCAGAAGTTCAAGATCTTCATCAGAGACCCAAGGGTCGGGACTGCAACTTTAGCCTTGAGGATACAACCTTCAGTTCTTCTACAACTTAGCCTCTTACTGCCATTGGTAACTGTGTTTACATTGTAATATATGGGCATGCATTCGAGCTTTATGACACTACGCTGGTTGGGTACAGGGGCGGATCCGGGATTTAAGTGATGTGAGGTGAAATTGGGTTTAACGTCGCGTCCAAGATTATTGCACTTATATAGCGACGTGCATGCACGTGTGTGTCTGTGGCTGCTTGTACTAGTCCGGACTGATGCCGATTTATAGTGCTAGCTCACTGAGATACCATGCCGCAGTTTAACATGAATACCCCACTCAGACACAGTATACTGACTCCGAGCCGACCAGTCCTTGTTTTAGCCCCTTAATGTCGAGCGCCAGACAGGGTAACAACAAGTACCATCTTTTAACGTCTTTTGGTATGACGCGGCCGGTGATCGAACCCCGGACCTTCCGCTCTCCGGGCGGACAGGGATTTAAAAAAAGGGTGGGGGGTCCACTTGTGTGTTTGGTGGAGGGCGTTTCGGTGGGGGTGGGGTGCACCTAAAAAGCCAGAAACACGATATAGTTATTCAACAACCAAATCAAACAATGTTATCATGGTTGATAGGAGATTTCTATTTACATCTCCAAAAAGGGGGGTTGTCACCCCCAGAACACACGGACTTGGGTACTTGGCAGGACTGGCGCCCTCGGCAACGTCCGTCATCCATACACCATATCTACAGTTATAGTTCTATTACTGTTGTCAGAGTGGGTTAAAAGTTCATATTCTGTGTATTAAAATAATTATTTTCCATGTACCCATCTTCGAAAGAAGAGTTAAAATGAATGTTTTGTTGTTTGTTTCTTAATACCGGCGGGGCCGGTGGAGATCCAGGTCTTCAGCAACCCAAGCTTGACGTAGCAGGCGACTATGCTTGTCACAAGAGGCGACTAACGGGATCTTGGTGGTAGATCAGCAGATCCTCAGAAGTCAATACTTAGATAGGCATAGGGTACTGTTGACTTATTTGTCCTTTGAACTGACGCGTGGTTTGTGCTGTGGTTATCGAACAATGTTTCACTTTGAACTTTGATCAGTACAAAAACCCGTTTCAAAGTAGGGCTCAATCCCAGTGAAGGTAATCAGAAACATTTTGGTGGGCAATGTTGACGTGACCTTAACCTTTGACCACATGAAATGATTTCCCCAAGGTCAGTTGGAGGGATATACACATTTATTCTGAAATTAACTAATGCATCTTGCAATACATATTCATGAAGGCATCTCCTCGACTTTGAGGTCGTGATTCACGTGCATGTTCTTGCAAGATGCACAATTTGGATGTTTGTGGATTTTTGGAGAGCATGATACTCACACAGTTGTTATTTTAATGTGAACAGCACGCAATGTTTTTTTAGCTAATCGCGTAATCATAAAAACACTTTTGCTTAACCGTAAATAACGCTTACCCAATGCCAATCTCTTTAGAGACGTTATCTACAGCAGGGCAACACCCATAATTTGCCACAGGCCGGTCGTTCACGTGTGACGTCACGTCAACAAGACAACCGTATTCGGTTGGTTCATCTACGGAATCATTACCAAAGTGCCACATTAACATTAACTTAATGATTGGAATATTGCTGGGTGCGGCGTTAAACAACACAGAATATCTGTCCACTCCGAACTTCGACCTGGCTGACCTTGACCTACTTCGGTTATTCTGAAAGATCACTGTTGGTGCCAAAATAGCTCTTCGTGGTTAAAGTGCTGTTTGCAAATTGTATAAACCCAGAGGACAGTCCCGATCAAAATTATATTCCATTACTGACAATCTTTGGTGGAAATGAGTGTTCTGACAACCTTAATGTCAACGGAACTACCCATGAAGTCTAGCTAAATACCGCCGTTCAGCTGAATACGAGTTGGCATTGTTCGATACCACGGCTTTCGATACCAGCATGTGATTTGTTTGTTGTATAAGGCCGCAATCAGCAATAAACCAGTTATATGTCGGCGGTCTGTGGAAAATCGAGTCTTTGTGTGATGTATATATTCCGTGATATTTAACAAAACAAAAAAATGTATGAGGAAAGTTCTGCCTTCCCTTGTGGAAAGATCTTCTTTATAATGCATTATTACAACAGTGTTGCGTTTGGAGGCGTCATGGATCCGAAGACATCAATTGCAATGTCAAAAACTCTGTCTTCACCAACTACAACGCCAAACTGAGTCTGGGCTACCAACCTACATCAGAGATACCTACAACGTCAGTATTAGCGGGGGAATACGGAACACTATATAGTATCTTGGTGTGTAAAATGGTTAAATTAAGAACTGACTCTTACTTACTGAACTTAAAATGAACAACTATAGACCGTATTTCCTCTATTATACGCCTAGGCGTCTATTAACTTCACGCAAATCTATTCTGTTTAATCCTGGCACAGTAGCAACTTAAGCCAGCCTGAAACTTGCACGATTTTTGTCCCTGCAATGCCGCGCAATGCGTCGTGGCAAGGCGTGCCATTTCGGTGGTACGCAGCGGAGCGTGAAGCCGCGTTTGCGCCCTGTTCGCGCACTGTACACGCATAAGTTACGCAATGTCTACGCAATGCACGGCCAAAATGGGCCGCATTGGCACGCACTGACACGCAATGGCACGACTTGTTTACGTATAGGTTAAGTATTGTTCGCGCATTGTTCACGTCTTCCGCACCGCAATGTCCCGCAGTGTCACATACGACACGCAAAGTTCCCGCTGTTTTCCCGCATCTCCACGCATTGCCCCGACGACTTCGCGCATGCGTGAAGTCGTCGTGGCAATTTTTGGTCACGCTTTGTCCCGCTTTGCGGTGCGCTTCAAATCTCGCTATTGGCATATGTATATAAACTCCAAATAAAAGAGACGCTTCATTCCTCGACTCGCTGTGGACGATACAACATGCTGAATACCAGAGACACTGTTATTGCAGAACAGAGAAGGTGTCTATATCTGGCAGCTGCAGGACTATTACTTCTTGAAGAGCAGGAGAAAAGGCAGCAAGAGCAAGAGGAAGAGCATGAGAAAGAAGAAGAGACATCCCTAACTAGAACAAGGAAAGCAAGGACAGTGTGGGTGAGGGAATGGTTGGCTAGAAGACATGAGTTCGCACATTATGATCAGCTATTGACAGAACTCCATAAGGAAGATCCCAGAGGCTACAGGAATTACCTGAGAATGACCCCTGACCTGTTCCAAGAGATGGTGGAGAAGTTAACCCCTCACCTTAAGAAAGAGAACACATTCATGAGAGAACCGCTTGAAGTTGGACTCAAGCTGGCTGCCACCCTCCGCTTCCTAGTCACTGGAAATTCCTATCCAAGTCCACATTACAGCTTCAGAGTTGAAGCAAGTACAGCCTGCAAGTTCTTACCAGAGGTGTGCAAAGCCATTATTGAGGTCTACAAGGACGAAGTGCTCAGCTGCCCCAAAACTCAAGAAGAGTGGAAGGAGGTTGCTGAGATGTTCAGCTCCAGATGGAACTACCACAAGTGTCTAGGGGCCCTGGACGGCAAGCAAGTTGCTATGAAGAAGCCACCCAAAGCAGGCTCCCTCTATTATAATTACAAGGGCTTCCACAGCATTGTACTCATGGCAGTTGCAGATGCTTTTGGTATAAGTTCTTGTATGTTGATGTTGGGGCAGAGGGTGGTGCCCCATTGAGCCAGTCCTTCTGTCTCTTGTCATACAACTGTTGGTAGTCTTTTACATATTCTGCTAATTTCATGGTACCCTCATCTGTCCACTTATACTCAGGAATTTCTTCCTTGGACACTCTGATTCTCTTCTTCTGTTTAACTGTGGGCTCTTCTTCACTTGACAGTTCTATTTATGTCTCTGTAAAAACTTTAAGTTGTGTCTCGGGAACAACATCCACACTTGAGCAGGAGGAAGGAGGAGAAAGATCCCGCTCCTTGTCTGCAATCTCTGTCTCTTTCTCTGTCTCTGGTCTGTCCTCTTCCTGTCTTTTCTGGACTGGCCTTACCCTTCTTCTACGGACTTTCTCCTTGTAAGGCATGTTGTCCGTTTGCTGGCAAGTTGCAGATTGACCAGGACCCGCTTACATACGCACTGACGCGATCGCCGTCGTCGCTTATTGGTCGGGAACTACGCGCGAACAATGCGTAAACACTTCGTGAGCAGTTCGTGCATTGCGCGAATGGTTCGTGACGTGCGCGACCTATGCGTGAGCTGGGCGTTCCATGATTACGTGAACAACTCGTGACAACACCCTAACGACCGCACGATCACTCCGCGACACGCTCGAATGCGTGAACGCGGCGCGAACAGGCGCGCCCACAACGTGGACAGTTCATGACCCATGCGTGGCATGGCGTGTCAGAGCGTGAAGTGGATTCCCATGGCACGCATTGACACGCACCGTCGGCAGTGTTCGCGCCGAGTTCGTACAGTGTTCACGCATGGTTCACGCACATGGCACGAAAATTGACGACAAAAATCATGCAAGTGTCAGGGTGGCTTTAGTCTCACCGAATCCCAAATTCTACAGTCATGCAAAAGCTACATTTGCAGGAATCGCATTGGATACCCAGCGTCTAATAGATGCCGGGCTTCTATTTCTTTGCTGTGCAGCATATGACCTGGCGTCAATTAGAGGCCGACATGTATTCGGTACCATCATCTAATTGAGTAAATACGGTATATGTGTTTTCACTAGACTACTCACAACGTGGGGAGTAATGGTGTCTCAGCCCCGTGGGGACTTTTCCAGTGCGTCACATGGGCGTTTCCATTTCTACAAGCTGACCCGCTTTATTCAATTAAAACAATGAAAGAAGAAATGTTTTTCACATGGATCAGAAAGATTTGAAAATATGCCATGGTTTATCGATCCTGCCAACGAGGATTATGGAATATTTTACGAGCGCTTACATCACTGCTCTGATGTTGGAAGGTTGCACATTAACGTTTAACTCTCTGATCTGCTGATCTAACAAGACGATATAGAGATTTCTCCCACAAGGCTCAGAGTATGCCGATTCTGTTTGTCGAGAAGAAACGTTTTCAGTGATTTGCTTATGGAACGATCACTTAGTTCAAACAATGTATAATATGTTTTCTGTGACATATATCTTCTGCATACGAATTGATTGTGTGAGGAGACAGTCAGACGAGGGACCCATGGGTGCTTCTCTCTCGGGGTATTACCCATTCAACAAGTGTTCACGTATGTATTGATATTAGGGTATTAGGCAACACAGTGCTAAAGACGTGAGACTTTCGCATTTATATAGAAACATCTGATAGCGCATGCATATATATATATATATATATATATTAGATCTAGTATATTGAAAAAACATTTTAAAATGCAACTTTAGTAAATATGTATGGTGAAAATGAAATCAATTCACTTTTGTGCACGTGCTGTCAAAGGTCAAACTCCGCTCGTGTTAGTAAAACCAGAGACATCTATTATATGGTCTCTGATGGTCTCTGGTAAAACAAACGTTTCTAATTCTTTTAAAAGAAATTGTCGCCCCAGTAGATCTTATACTTTTACTGGCAGAATATTCACTGAATTATGGAGACACTAGGAGACACTTTCCAGTTGTTTTAAATTGGACTTTTCCTCGAAGGGAAAACAATTCGCTAGATCATAGAATTCATAAACGTTCTGAAATCCCTGACACATTTCCAAAGCTTGGAACAGTCGTAAGTGAGAACTTCTTGACAAAGACAGCCACGACATAAACGTAACTGAATACAATACTACCAACGGCGCCACTTTTAACGTGTCTCCATGACAACAGTGACAATATGACGTAATAGAAAAGTGTGACGTCATATGTTTCGAAGTTCCGGTTTGTGCTTGAGGTGGTAAAATGTACGAACTTTGTTCGTATGATAACACAGCCATGTTCCGATTACATTGATAGCAATCGTAAACACAAATGACAAACATAAGGCTCTTGGTTTTCCTCCTCCTGCTGCACGGACTACACACTGGTAAGTCGCGGAAAGATAGTAGACAGCATCAAGAAACAGTTTGAGTGGCTATATCGAAAGCTCCATACATTGCCGTAGATCTTGCCGCATAAGTTACTTTTCTTGTAAGCGCAATGTGTGGAGCTGATGTCAATGTTCCATCACTAGCGTTACAATACGTGTTGGTTTTCAGCCGTGACTTTTGTCTCACAGTACATATTCAACATCAAGCGTCTGGGATTTGGGAACATCTAGGAATAGTTACAAAACCTGAGAGATTCATCAGTGGAAGTGGTGTACTCATTATATTAGACGGAATCAAATATGTCCATGTCTGGAAACTTGCAATGCCATAAGGCCCCTAAGTGTGGGTTTGGTGAATTCATCCTCTGCAAATTGCCGTTTTTGTCCAGTTCCTTATGTACATTTGTTAAAAAAATTTGGAGATTAGCAAAACTATACATATTCTGAAAGCTTTCAATGTACAGATGAAGAAAACCAATGTTTCCAAATTTTCCCATCATTCATTTGGCGGCCATCTTGGATTTCAAGATGGCGGCCATTTTTGCCCATATTTGTCAAGTCTAAGGCTTCTGAGGTGTTTATTTTGTCATTTAATTGTTAATATGTGATACTATGCCTACTCATATGTAATTTAGACATGCTAAAGGTAATGATTTCACATTCTTAACAAAAAACTACCTCAACTTTTCTAATATCTTAGTTGGATTTTGCAATATTATCAGTAGTGTGGATAGAATCCTATACGTTACAACTGTCTATCACAAAGTAAAATTGATAAAGAATATATTGTACCTTAATTATCATATGACACCTTAAAAACTGTCATATCCAATAATTACCTATGGTTATATGTTTCTCCAGCAACTCAGCAACATAAGAGCCATCTGTATCAATGCCATGGCATTTAAATTTTCAAAATGTCACATAGAATTCTCATAGTCACATTACACCAAAAAAGGGCCCTTGAAGTCTTGAATAATAAAGTCACAATTCTTGAAATGTGTCTTGATATCATATTCACAGAGTCATCAAACATGTCATTGCTGTCATCACCATCATTAGTTGACATATTTGTGTCATCGTCGTTCTCACACACTGAGGTGCAGAGGCAGAGTTCTGTACATGACAAGTTGTTTGATCGACATGTACATCTTTGGGTCAAACAGTCTTTCCTACACTGACACCTCACCATCTCAATAATAGCTTTGGGGGCTGGGAGAACATCCATTGTTGTTGGTTTGATCCGGTTATCTTTGTCCTTATGGAATTCATGTTGAAGTGGATCTAATTGGATCTGATGGGCGATATTGGCTTGACCCCACACATAAGCTTGAATATGAACCCTCAGAATATGCTGCTTTAGAGCACCCAGTGTTGGTGGTAGCTTGTCACTCTCTGCCATATGTTTGCAGAAGAGATACCATCTGAGCTCTGGAATATCTGTCACAGAGAAGCCTCTTGGACAGTAAACACCGCATACAAATCTGGCCAATGTTGAAATTATTTGGTCGCAGAGTTCATCACTTGTAGTCAGCACAAGGAGAGCATTAACAATATCATCATCCGTTTTCGAGTATTTCTGAAACCATATTTCCTTTCCTACTCGGGAAAATCTGCCTGTATTGTCGGCTCCTGTGAAGGCATGGAAGGCTGGCAAAGCTGATGATTTCTTCACACCCAGGGCTGTCCAAAGAGGCTTTATTGGAAGAACATTTGATGTCATTGAGAGTGTGGTGTTTTCCGGAGATTGCTGTAATTTGCAATGGTCAAAACAAGGACAACAGTGTCAGGAGAGAAGATTGTCAACTGCGAGTTCCTTGGATTGCGCTGTGAAGCTGATATAGCAAGATATATCATGAGTGTGTCAGCTTCTTCATGATTGTTGGCTTCAAACTCCAAGTCTCTGTTGCTCCTGGTACAGCCAGATGCAGATGCAATAAAGGTTTGAGACGAATCAGCATTATACTCCAGTGTCTTTTCTGCAAGGTAGTCTGTCAGATCAGCTTTTGTTTGTTCATGAGACAGAAAACGATTTAACATGATGTGCTTGATTCTGGTGTCATCTCTAATTTGGTACTGAATAGGATCTCTTCCTTGGCGTCTCTTTTCTCTCGTTGCAGATTTGAGGGAATCTTGCTTGTATGAGTCAAAAGCAAGTATGACCTCATCAAACCCTCTTGCCAGGTTCATCACTGTTATTGAAGCACTGACTGAGATCTTCAACTGTTTCCACTGTATTTGGTAACTTTGTCATCTTCTGAAGTACAACCATCCCATCTATGACAGCAATTTTTCTTGGGATGTTGTTGAAGGTTTGATTTTGTTCTGTGTCACTGTCATCAACTGTGTTCTCTGGCTGACTTGCTTCATAGTTCATTGCTTCTTCATTTACAAACTTTGTAAGACTGCTGATCAACTTGGACTTGTCAGTGCATGGTAACAGCAATTCACTTGGTGAAAACAGTGACCTTGGAGTCAGTGTGAACTCAAAGTTACCAATTGCCTGTTTCAAGTCAATGTCTCTACTTGATCTGGCAAGAACCATCAGCCTTCCATACAAATCTTTTGTTTCTCTGAGATCCACATTCTTGTCTCGGAGACAAACTGTTTGCTTTTGGCATCCTGACATGTACATCTTGTTGTTTTCCCTCTTCACTGGTGCCTTAAAGCTCTGCACGCTAACGTCGAACCCATTCGACAGAGGTGTCCATCCCCGTGCATCTGATGTCGAACCCATTCGACAGGCGAATAGCAAAACAACACCCCAAAATAAAACTCGCCATATCTATTTACCAAGAAGGCTTTGCGTAACATTTAAATTACGTATGACATGCATAAATGCTCAGCTTGCTCAATATCAAAACGTTCAGTCATTTATTTACCTCAAAAAGAAAATATCGCGAGTTAAAAATGTTTCGGCTAAACTTCTCGGCACACAACTACCAGAAACGGCCATTGTTGACTTTTGGCACTTCACGTTGAGCGGCATGCAGTCCGATATTTTCTTTATAATTTCATCATTTTTCCTATTCGATCATAATTTTTTGTTTGCTGACGAAAGGAAAACACTCATGTTCCTTAATTTCTAAAAATCAGCAACTTTCGGTGTAACTAATTGTAAACAAAAACAATCTGAATCGTAACATCATCGATTGGATGAAACTTGTACTATCATGGCAACGGCGGTAAACAAACAACTCCACATGCATAGTTATCCCGTTAGACTATTACAATCATTTTGTTACATCTAACTTAATTTTCTAGAATAATTGACACGTATGTATAAATATTTGTAAAAAGAATTTCATTTTTAAAGAGTTTGGAAATGATTTCGTTTGATAAACTTTCCGGCACATTGACAAGCCGACAAACAGCTGACAAACGTCAGTGATACGTTTGGGCGTGGCCTAACTCGCGATTTGTTGAGTTGAACAAAGTCAACAAACACTGCGAAAAATGACAAATATTGGATGATACGCAAAATCTGAACTGATATACATTCTAGGTAAACCATTCAATAGCAAAATAATGCATTTTACGAGAAATAATCAAAATACTTGCAATTTTAGCTATCATTTCTGAAACCGGAAGCACGTACCGCATGTGACACATGGAAGCAAAATATGCAAAAGTTGGTAAGCTATCATAAAGAAATTCCGAAATAGATTCAAATTCAAAAGAAAATACATAATTTACTATTTTTCGTCAACTCTGTACTATTTATTGATCTGGAGAGCAGTCTTTACTCCTATTTGTTTCATATTTCTTCGTGATCGTCGCCATCAAATGTGTAAGACTAAATCCGAAACCGTAATGGATTTCACGCTCGATGATTTTAATTTTAAAATATTTTCTAAAAACGAACGCAACGGAGAGCGATACAACGTATTGATATGCCATAATAATAACATAATATAGGTCTAACATTACAAAAAGATCAATTTTATTAAAGATGTTGTTGAAAACTTTCTGAGAACCTCCCGTCCTCTGAACCGATAAAATTTTGGTACACAACGAGGTAGGCTAGTGTAAATATATATAGATTCTAGGCTCCTATATATGTGATTTTGTACCCAAAACAAATTAAATAGTACCCAAAATACTTTGTGAATTTGTACCTAAGAAAATAAGAAAATAGATCTATAATTATATTTATGTTTTCATGTAGATGAACAGAACACACAATAAAATATTTCATCAAGTTCCAAATATGATTATGACTGTGATCCTTGAAATTGATTGTTTAGTTTTGAGAGAAAATTGACGTCTTGTCACTGAAGGAGAGGCCAGTTAAGTTGGTTAAACCTAGGTTAGAATGAATTGTTTTGATAGGAAAGTGATATGTTAAGTTTAAGACACCAAATTAATGTATATCTTTGAAATAATTCTAGGTAGATCTACAAAATCACATACCCATTTGGGTAACAAATTACTAGAAATTTTGGGTATAAAAGTCACCACTGTACATTTCAACTGATTTTCGTGAATCAATGGGATAAAAAAAATTCGTCTGAATGATTCCTTTTCTCATTTTTTAAGACAAGAATTTGTTTTACATAACAAAACAGGCAGATCTACACGGATCACGTTTAGTCCTAAAAATGTTTAAAATATGGACACCTCAGAAATGAGGGCTTATAAGGTTATAATTCTACCTAACTAGTCACATGGTTTGACTTAGATCTAGGTCTATCTAAGAAAAGTCCTTATGAAAATCTTTTTTTAATTTTTTTATGACACTGACATTTCTGGCACTTAGACAAAGAGTATTCAAGGAAAGACATATGTTTTTGAATGAAAATATGACTTCTCTTTATAATTCTTTTTGCATGATGACAGGGGAACTTTTATACACACCAGCTGAGGAAGTTGTGATACTGTGATTGCATACAAAGAAAAAACAGGTTTGAAGCAGTACCTGTATGTATAAAATAGACCACATAAGGTGAACAAAAGTAATGGATTGGCTGACTGGAAAAAATACATCTGGCAAGGGT